TAGATGGGACGGGTCGGATTGATCCACGCTTCCCAAACCGTTACCCAGGGGTTGAACTCATAGCAAAACCTGTATAAGAGTTTAGCGGGGAACGGGGAGTCCCCCAGCAAACCCTCCGACGAGCAAGTTAGAGGAGAGTGATCGAATGTTGGGATAGAAATGGTGATAAAGAACTTAACCTTTTTTTTGTCTTAGGAGCCTGCTTATATCCTTTGCTTATCATTTCCTTGTCCACTCCGGGCTATCACGTTGGCCGAAAGTCTATGTTCTAGCTTGCCTTGTTCATGGTGAGGCTGTTCTGTTTCGACGTGATTATCGTAACAAATGTTGCAGGGAAGCTCATTAATGGCTGATGTGTAGTGCAATAACTCTGCAGGATCTTTGTCTGCTGATGTGCCTGGCTCTTTACTTGCCAAGTGTTCAGATGTCATTGGTGCTTGGTGTAACGTTAGGTTTTAGGAATGTTGGGCTTTAGTGTTTGATTCATGGATTGGGCCTTAAGTGGTGGGTCATATCCTTTATGGGCTTACCCATGTCAGTGGTCCTCTATTCCCAAGTGTCGCTTTAGTCCAACGAAGGGAATAAAGAAGAAAACAGGGGTTGTGAGATATCGTTGGAGAGAGGACCGACTGGGAGGTGGGCCGACCGTGAGGGGTGGCCGAGGAGACGGATCGATTGTGAGGAGGGCCAACCGCGACAGGTGACCAAGTGAAGGGACCGACCGTAAGGAGGGCCGACCGCGAAGGGTGGCTGAGTGGAGGGATCTGCCAAGAGGAGGACCAATCGCGAAGGGTGGCCGAGTGGACGGACCAACCGTGAGGAGGGCCGACTGCGAATGGTGACCAAGTAGAGGGACCGACCATGAGGAGGGTCGACCGCGAAGGGTGACCAAGTGGAGGGACCGACCGTGAGGAGGGCCGACTGCGAAGGGTGGCCGAGTGGACGGACCGACCGTGAGGAGGGTCGAACGCGAAGGGTGACCAAGTGGAGGGACCGACCGTGAAAATGGCTGACTGCAAAGGGTGGCCGAGTGGACAGACCGACTGTGAGGAGGGCTGACCGCGAAGGGTGGCTGAGTGGAAAGACCGACCGTGAGGAGGGCCGACCGCGAATGGTGGCTGAGTGGAGGGACCGACCGTGAGGAGAGTTGACCACGAAGGGTGGTCGAGTGAGAAGAGGAAGTGGCGGTGCGCGGGCCTCGAGAAGCGGCGGGGCATGTGGTGAAGTGAAGTGGAATAGACAGGGAAGGGGAAGAGAGCAGTGGATCATGGTCGTACACATGGCAGAATCCTCGAAGGGAGAGGTGACGCGTTAGTAAGAAATGAAGGGACAAGGTGATATAGGGCAGTGAAAAGGCAGGGGCGGGAGTTTTTCGAAAATTTTCAAACTGGCGAAATTTGACCTTGACCCTTGGAATATAGGCAAACCGTGGGCGTTTGGGGTTGTCCACTTTACCTATCTTTTTGTAAAAAACCAACACGTCCCAGAAGTAAACCCATTTGTTTCCAGTGATACACCTCTACAACGTTTTGTGAACTTTCTTGTGCCCAAGTCCGAAGCAATTCCCAGACACGCCAAAGAAATGGAGCAAAAGAAAGTACCAGCCGCAAGGCTTGATTCGTTAGGTGACGACGATACGGTGGAGTTGGCGGAACAATACCGTGCGGAGCGAAGGGAGAGGAGGGTAGTTAGTCAAGCGGTGCGGGCTCGCCCTATGACAATGATTGCGGCTGCGAGGCCCATTAGTCAAGCGGAGCCGGACCATTGGCATACCAAGCCAGACAGATCTACACTTATGGTGGAGGTGTTGGATGGAATAAGGAGGAAGTACCAAATTCCCGCAGAATTAGGATTGAGGCTGCCCACATCCAAGAAGAGGGCGTCAGATGTGCAACCGAACGAATTCAGCCTTTTCGAGGAAGCGTTGCGAGGGGATTTGAGGCTACCGCTCCCCGAAATAGTGGTGGACGTGCTAAACAAGTTAGAAGTGGCGCCAGGGCAGCTGATGCCGAACGCCTAGAAGATAGTAGTAGCATGCGCGAGTGCTTGGCAGCAGGCGACTGGAGGGATGACAATGACAGTGGAGGAGTTCTTCTCCTGCTACAAGGCCTCCTGTTAACAGGAGACATAGGTGACTCTATAAGCAGTGGCAGGTCGAGGTCTAGTGGCGGGCCTGCCATCTTCGGTGAAGGGGTGGAGACCAAGATGGTTCTTCGTGTCGGCGAACGGTGGGGCAAGAGTTCGCACAACATGGAAAGTCTCCACGAAATTGGTGGAGCCAAAGTTAGGCGTGGAGGCCGAAGACTGAGTAAAGAAGGTGAAGGAGTGGAGGGAGGAGAAGGGAGTGAGGTGGGACGAGCTGGTCCTTCCTTCAACATTGTTTGCCCTGAACTTGGGACCGCAACCGTTGGAAGAGGATCCGGCGAGGGAGGAAATGGAGGTGCGGAGGAGGAAGAAAAGAGGAGGTTGTTTGCCAGGGCGAAAAAATACAAGGAGACGCAATTGGGGCCTGCCCCTAAGCTGGTGATGAGGGAGCGGATCCAACCGCGTCCCAAGCTGGTGGGCGACAAAGACCTAACTGGCTTCGCCCCTCTGCCGCCCCCAGTAGACCCACTGAACGTGAGGGACAAGCAGGAGGTGGAAGCAGTTGTGAAGAAACCAAGGAAAAAAGATGGGGGGTGTAGAGGGGGGACAGATGCCCCTATTTTGAAAAAGATGAAGGCTGGGGGGGAGGCTGTCCCTGTTGGGAAGGAGTTGAAGGAGAGAAGGGCGGAGGAGGCCCTGGAGAAGGAGAAGCTGAAGGAGAGGGGGATTGAGGAGGGAGTAGAAGAGGAGACCGCCCAAATGGCTAAGGAAAAGCTGGGCCTAAGTGCCCCTATGATGCCGATGGTGGCACATGCACAAGAAATAAGCTCAAGCCCTAGCAAGGGGAAGACGGGAATTAGCAAGCCAGCGACGAGTGTCGCGCTGGCGACCGCCTTGTACCACGCGCGTACGCTGGCAGGTCGCTCAGCGGAAAGGGAGGAAGCCAGGGTCACAACCGACTGCTTTGTTAGAGTAGTGAAAGATGCGGCGATGCCCTCGATTGCGCGTTTGCCAGAGGCCGATCTCCTGAGAGGATTTTACTCAGTCCAGATGAAGGCAGACCGCCTTGATGAATAGGGTGGCATGCTAGGGTGGAAGTAGAGCAGCTAAGGGCCCAATTGGAAGAGGCGAGATCGGAGCTCCAGAATCTGAGGACAGAGACAGCGGGGTGGAAGAAGGCTGCCAAAAGTGCGTGCGCCAAGGGGTTGGAGTATGCGCGGAGGGCGAAGGTCATGGAGGTGCTGGTGGTGGTGCAAAGCAATTCAGCGGGGCGAGCTCTCGCCGTAGCCAAGTCTGAGCTAGAAGAGGAGCGTCATAAGGTGATATCGATTAAGTTCCAGTTGGCGGGCGAGCAGAAGAGACTAGAAGAAGTCCAGAAAGCCTACACCACTGCCAACGAAAGGTGGGAGGAGGCCATGGCCAGCAATGAGGATCTGCGGGACCAGGCGATCAAAGACAAGGAAGAGGCCGATGGTCGGATCGTAGCATTGGAGAAGGCCCTAGTGGAGAAGAGGGCTGAGTTGACTTCTGAGAAGGCACAATTGGAGAAGGCCCTAGCAGAGGAGAGGGCCAAGTTGATATCTGAGAAGGCAGAGTTGGAGAAGGCCCTAGCAGAGGAGAGGGCCAAGTTGGCGTCTGAGAGGGTGGCGTACCCCGATCTATGTATGCCTACTGTAGAGCAGTTCAAGGGGTCCGCCGACTTCCAAATGGCCATTGATGCAGCTGTCGCTAGCAGCTTGGCGAGAGAGGGTAGTGGGGAGGGCTGGGCCGTCTGTAGCGGCCGCTGGAGGTAGAAGCGAAGAAAAAGTCATCCAGAGCTTCCAGCGGTCGAATTTTTATAAGCATGAAATGGTTGAGTTCTGGGACAGCGGGTAGAAGAGCTTCAAACAGAAAGCGGAAGAGCTATTCCCAGACGTGGACTTTAGCCGCGTGGAAACAGGCGAAGACGACATTGCCCAAACCCCCCAAGACGAGGGGATTGAGGAAAAAGATATGGCCTCCACTAAGGAGGAGTGATCATTTTTTGGTTATTTTTTTTGTTTGTTTGTGTGTGTTGTTTATTTTTTGTTATGTGTAATTTCTACACTGAATTGTATGTAACTGAAAGTTTGTAAATAAAACAACAAGTTTTCCTTTGTACTGTTGTCGTTACTTCTTCTGAGTTGTAAATTTGAAAATAATGATAATGACAGAGCAGAATTTTCTGAAGAAAGGTTGTAAAAATAAGACTTGTGCATGACTTATGAAACTTGCCAGCAGATTGTGATATAAAGAGTTTTTAGAAATGGGTAACCAGCCTAACTTGTGAGAAAATCATGATGCAAGAAACGTTAAAAATAGGCATGCACGAAAATGTTAAGAGTGTTAGAAATGAAAAATGGGCTTAGACGACTATGAGCTTGGATTTTAAATGAATTAAAAATGTAAAGTTAAAACTATAAAGAATGTTAAAAAAACGTCGTAGTGTGGACCTGGATTTGAATTGAATATGGGAACCATACTATAACATGAAATTATGAAAATGGACCGGTCGGATTCTTCATTCGTGCTCAGTCTGGCTGAGGCTGTAATTAACTCAGTCTGGCTGAGCCTTTTGTGCTCAGTCTAGCTAAGACCTTTAATTAACTCAGTCTGGCTGAGCCCTTCGTGCTCAGTCTGGCTGAGACTTTTAATTAACTCAGTTTGGTTGAGCCCTTCGTGCACAATCTGGCTGAAGCTTTAATTAACTTTGTTTAACAAGTCGTTATTAAAGCATAACACAGATAACAGAGCCATAAAACCATTGTCTTTTAAGGCATAGCCTATTGATCACAAGTTTGCACCATGTATGAAGAGGACAAAAATAACCAAATGTGTAGATGGTCAAAAAACACATACAGCAAATGATCAATACAAAAATAATACATGACACTTTACTAGAAATAACGTTTCAAGTATTTGGCATTCCACGGGTGGGGGAGGTCTCGGCCTTCCATGTCCTGGAGTCGATAGGTGCCTGGGCGAGGTCTGGCCTTAACAATGTAAGGTCCTTCCCATTTGGCTGCTAGCTTGCCCTCGGCAGGACTTTTGGTGGCAAGAGTTGCTTCACGTAAAACTAGGTCGCCAACTGCGAATTCCCTCGGTCGGACTCTACGGTTGTAGTGTGCTCTCATTTTCTGTTGATATGAGGCACTCCTAACGGTAGCTGTCTCTCGAAGCTTTTCAATCAAGTCTAAGTCAGCCCGACGTAGGTCTTTGGTTAGTTCTGGGTCTTGGTGTAGAACCCTCAGGGTTGGTAGGCCGATTTCCACTGGGATGACTGCCTCAGCGCCGTATATTAAGCGAAAAGAGGTCTCCCCAGTAGGGGTTCGGGCGGTAGTGCGATAGGCCCAGAGCACGTTTGGCAGTTCCTCAGCCCAGAGTCCCTTGGCGCCTTCCAACTTGGTCTTGATGATTTTCAAGAGAGAGCGGTTGGTGACCTCGACTTGCCCATTGGCTTGGGGATGGTCTGGCGAAGAGAAGCATGGTTGAATGTGGAGGTTTGCACAAAATTTCCTGAACTTGGCGTTGTCGAATTGCTTGCCGTTGTCTGAGACGATGGCTTGGGAAATTCTGAATTGGCATACGATCGACTACCAGATAAATCTGGTTGTGTTTCGTTCGGTGATTGTGGCGAGGGGTTCTGCTTCTACTCATTTAGTGAAGTAATCAATGGCAACCACAGCGAACTTGGTTTGGCCCCTACCGGTGGGCAATGAGCCAACTAAGTCGATGCCCCACTTCGCGAATGGGTAGGGACTGCTGAGTGTAATTAGTTCTGTCGGTGGAGCATGGGGTATGTTGGCAAAGCGCTGACATTTATCGCACTTAAGCACGAACTCAACGACATCTTGGTTGAGAGTAGGCCAGAAGTAGCCGGTGCGGAGTATTTTTTGGGCCAGCGACCTAGCACCCGAGTGATTACCACATACACTATCGTGGATTTCCCTTATCACATAGGTCGCTTGGGAAGGACTGAGGCACTTGAGGTATGGGCGTGAAAACCCGCGTTTGTACAAGAGGCCGCTGATGAGGATGTAATTGGATGACCAGGCTCTGACTTTGGCGGCCTGCTGTGTGTCGCCTAGTAGCTCCCCACTTGTCAAGAATAAAAGGATGTCTTCTGCCCATGGAATAGGTTCATTTTGGAGGAAATGGACCGCCAGCGGGATTGGCAACGTAGCTAGGTGGGCTAATTATTCAAGACGAACTCCATGGCTGAGGTCAGATTGGTCAGCCGAGGCTAATTGGGCCATTTCATCTGCCTTAGAGTTTTTTGATCGAGGAATGTGTTTGATGTGGAAAGTGTTGAAGAGGCGAACAAGGGGGAGTGCAATATCCCTATAGACTCGCATTGTGCCGTCCTTGGCGTCGAATTCCCCCGTGATTTAACCCACGATCAACTAGGGATCGCTAAACACTCGGATATGGCTCACACCAATGTCTCTGGCTAAGCGGAGACCTGCTATCAGGGCCTCATACTCGACCTCATTATTACTTGCGTTAAACAGGAAGCGGAGAGCACACTTGAAATAACCACCCTCGGGGGCGATCAGGATGAGACCAGCCCCACTGCCTTCTTTGCGGGATGATCCATCGATATTGAGGGTCCAAGAGTGGGGATCATCAGCCTCAGTGTTGAATTGCTTGGGCTGGGAGGCCGTTGTTGGAGTGGGATTAGTGAATTCTACAATAAAATCAGCGACAACCTGTCCTTTGATCGCTGTTCGAGGTCGGTAGGAGATTTCAAGCTGGCTGAGCTCAAATGACCATTGCATAAGTCTGCCAGACACCTCTGGTTGTTACATTATCTTCTTCAAAGGTTGGTCAGTAAGGACCACTATGGGGTGAGCTTGGAAGTAAGGTTGGAGTCGCCTTGAGGCTATGACCAAGGCCAAGGCCATTTTTTCCAGCAACGGGTAGTTCTGTTCTGCTTCCCTGAGAGCCCGACCGATGTAGTAAACCGGGCGTTGTATTGAGCCATCCTCCATAATGAGGGCCGCACTGACTGCGGTGTTCGATACGGCTAAGTAGAGAAAATAGGGGCTCACCCCTGAGCGCCTGAGAAAGTAAGGAGGTTGGCCATGCATTACTTTAATTGTTGGAAGGCCTCTTCGGATTCGGCCGTCCACTCAAAAGCTTGCCGAAGGACTTTAAAAAAGGGGAGGCACTTGTTCGTTGCGCGGAAAATGAAGTGGTTGAGAGCGGCGACTCTGCCAGTAAGTCTTTGAACCTCTTTAACCGTTTTGGGTGACCGCATTTCTATCAGGGCCTTGATCTTTTCGGGGTTGGCCTCGATACCTCGCTGACTGACCATGAAACCCAAGAACTTCCCAGATCCTATGCCGAAGGCGCATTTCTCCGGATTGAGCTTCATTTGATACTTACGTAGGGTGCCGAAGGTCTCCCGCATGTCTATTAGATGATCAGAAGAGAGTTTGCTCTTGACTAGCATGTCATCGACGTACACTTTCATGTTCCGACCTATCTGGTGATGAAAAATGGCATTGACTAACCGTTGGTAGATTGCTCAGACATTTTTCAACCCAAATGGCATGACACAATAGTGGTAGGTTCCGTGGTCAGTGATGAAAGAGATATGTTCCTGGTCAGACGGGTGCATCAGAATTTGATTGTAACCAAAGAAGGCGTCCATGAAACTGAGCATTTAGATGTCCGGCCGTGGCGTCAACAAACAGGTCTATGTAAGGAATGGGATAACTATCTTTGGGGAAAACTCGATTGAGATCGGAGTAGTCGACACTGAGTCGCCATATACCGTTGTTTTTACGGACCAAGACCACATTTGACAGCCACATTCTTGACAAACTGAGCCTCCAGTAGCTTATCTACTTCAGGAGCAATAAGAGTGTTACGTTTCGGGTGAAAGATGCGCTGCTTCTGGCGAAAGGACCGAAAATGGGGCTCGATGCTCAAACGATGAGTGATGAAGGAGGGATCGATACCCGGCATGCCGGAATGGGTCCAGGCAAACACATCATTGTGCTTGGTCAGGAGGGTTGTAAGATCTGCCTTGGCTTGGGGGGATAGTCGGCTGCTGATCTTGGCTGTTTTTGTTGGGTTGGTAGGGTCGATGAGAACTTTAATAAGTTCTTCCACTGGTTTTCCCTGACTAATTCATCTTCGTCTCTGATGTCAAGTCCTTCGATGATCATTGCCTCCTTCAACTTGACCTTTTTGAGTGAAGCGACGTAGCATTCTCTGGCCATAGTCTGCTCCCCCCTTACGGTGCTGACGCCGAGGTCGGTAGGGAATTTCATGGCCAGATAGTACGTGGAGGTGACAGCTTGAAAAGCGTTGAGGGCGGTGCGGCCAAGGATGATGTTATAAGTAGAGGGGCAGTCGACGACGAGAAAAGTGAGCAACTTAGTGGTCTACCGTGGGTATTCTCCAATGGTGATGGAAAGATCGATGGAGCCTATGAAGGTCACCCGATCTCCAGTGAAGCCTACCAGTGGGGTTTAGAGAGGGGATAAACTTTCTTCCCCGACCTTGAGCTGGCGATAGGCGTTTAGGAAGATGATGTTTGAAGAGCTACCGTTGTCGACAAGCACCCGTCTGACTTTGTAATTGGACAAGAGGGCAAAGATGACGAGGGGGTCATCATGGGAATAACGGATGCCTATGCAATCGGCTTTCGTAAAGGTGATGGGCTCCATCCACTGCTTGGGGTGTTTGAGGGGGCAGTCCAATGTTGCGACTTTTTTATCTGAGCCCTGCCTGATTTTCCTGAGTTCTGTCCATTGGGCCGAACGGGATGGTCCTCCGCATGCAAGTCTGCCAGCAATAACTCTGATTTCTCCAACCGAGGGGGCAGGGTTGCCTTGTGCCCGAGGTTGTTGTGGGGGTCGATCATGGCCTTGGTTAGGTTGTGCGGGTCATCGAGGAGAGGTGTGCCGGTGGCTATTTCTAGCAAGTTCGGTCCTTGGCCGTTGTTGAGGGCGGGCTGTCGTGAACCGGCTGAGACGTCCCTAGCGTATCAAGCCCTCGACTTGGTCTTTGAGGTTAACACACTCATCGGTATTATGGTCGTGGTCCTAATGGAAGCGGCAGTATTTGGACTGGTCCTGTCAGTTGGAAGGAGACCGCGACGGTTGGGGCCATTTCAAGGGATAATCTCGTTGGATTTGGTTCAAGACTTGTTCTACAGGGGAATTGAGGGGTGTGTATCGTTCAAACCGGCTGGGCGGTCGGGTAGGTGCCGACCGGTCGGCTCGAGCAGGTCGGTCGGTATATTGAGGTGTTTGCTGTGTGTACTGGGTGCTTCTGGTTTCAGAGTCCTTTCTCTTCTCTCTAGGGGTCGAGTTTTTGGTTGTGGAGTCTTGTCGGGCGACTAGGGAATCTTCGGCGTTCATGTATTTTTGGGCTTTAGAGAGGAGGGTTGCCATGGATGTTGGAGGGTTTTTGGAGAGGGAAAAAAAAAATCGGATGATCGTAGACCGGCCATGAAAGCTGTGAGAATGACCTTGTCATCATTTTCTGCCACCTGCAAGGCCTCGGTATTGAAGCGGGTGACGAAGCTGCGCAGTGACTCTCCCTCCATCTGACGGATGTTGAGGAGTTGAGTTGTCGGACGCCACTAGCGTTGGGCAGCAATGAAGTGGCTGAGAAAGGAGTTAGTTAGGTGCTGAAAAGTAGAGACCGAGTCCGTCGGCAGCTAACTAAACCACAGTCGGGCCGACCCCTTAAGTGTTACGGGGAAAGCCCGACACATGATCTCATTAGGGAATGCATGGAGGACCATGAGAGTCCTGTAAGTCTCCAAGTGGCCTATTGGGTTCGTTGTACTGTCGAAGGAGTCGATCGAGGGCATTTTGAACTTAGGAGGTAGAGGTTTGTTCCTGATGGAGGCAACAAATGGTGAGTTGGCTGTGGTAGACGGTTTATTTTGTATGTTCTGCATAACTCTTTGAAGCTGGAGTTTCATGGCTCGAAGTTCTGCATCCCAAAGAGGAGTGTTGTCATCATCAGAGTAATGGAGGCTGGACACTACTGGCCTCCCCCTCGGGGGCAGTTGCTTGGATCGATGGGTGTGGGGCTCGAGGTGGCGGGTTCATATTTTGAGGAGGGCGTCGCAAGACCTCCAAGTTGGATGGATGGGATTGTTGGAGGGAATGGCTCGGGGCTCGTTCCTAGTTGGGTGGTATGTCTTGAGGTGGTGGCGGGGGCATAGGAAGGTTTTCTTGAAGTAAAGCATTGATTAGGGCTTGGTTTTGTTCGGCTAAGCAGTTAATGCTATTGATGAGTTTTGTGAAATACTGCGGTCGGTTGTTCGGGTTAGGAGGGTCAGGTTAGGGGTCGGCAACGTTGTGTTGAAAAGCCATGGATCTAGTTGTGACCATCCACCTTGGTGGGTGGTAGGTAGGGGACACTAAGATGGCAGGAATGGGTTTCCGGTGGTAATGAGCACAATTACCATACGGAGCAAAAAGATTCCCACAGATGGCGCCAATTGATAATGCTGCGGGCTCCAGATGGAACGGGTCGGATTGATCCACGCTTCCCAAACCGTTACCCAAGGGTTGAACTCACAGCAAAACCTGCACAAGAGTTCAGCAAGGAACGGGGAGTCTCCCAGCGAACCCTCCGACGAGCAAGTTAAAGAAGAGTGATCGAATGTTGGGATAGAAATGGTAATAGAGAACTTAACCCTTTTTTGTCTTAGGAGCCTACTTATATCCTTTGCTCATCATTTCCTTGTCCACTTCGGGCTGTCACGTTGGCCGAAAGTCTATGTTCTAGCTTGCCTTGTTCATAGTGAGGCTGTTCTGTTCCGACGTGAAGGGTTATCGTAATAAATACTGCAGGGAAGCTCATTAATGGCTGATGTGTAGTGTAATAACTCTGCAGAATCTTTGTCTACTGATGTGGCTAGCTCTTTACTTGCCAAGTGTTCAGATGTCATTGGTGCTTGGTGTAACGTTAGGTTTTAGGAATGTTGGGCTTTAGTATTTGATTCATGGATTGGGCCTTAAGTGGTGGGCCATATCGTTTATGGGCTTACCCATGTCAGCTCTCATTTGTACTCTCTCCATTATGCTTCTTACTTTTATTATAATCATTCTTTTAATGGATTTTGAGAGAGAAAAAAATTTATTTATATTTTCAAAGTGAACTATTTAGGCTTTATTGAGGTGAATTATTTATTTATTTATTTTGGATGCCTAGAACACTCCCAAGGTAGGACTTTTAGAATCTACCGTTACAAGTCAAACTAAGAGAAGTTAGTCGATCTACCTAAACCGTCGAACTTCTACTTGAATAGTAGGAGATCCGAATCCTGATCAATAAGGAGAAGAGCAAACTCCCTCACCAATTAAGATGACCTTTGTGGTATTGAAGTGAATTGTTCATTAACATTCATGTACATATGTGGTAATTGATATTTTGTAATTACTTTTAATTTTAGTTTATGTTGATGGAGCAGATAGAATGGCTTGCCTCCTTGTGGAGAAATGCATTTTTTGATTTTGAGTTATTTTCTCACTATGGATTTCTTTCCTAAGAATTTAGGTGAGCTATTCTGACTCGCTTAGCCCCTAATTTTATTCAACTTTTTTATGTGTGTGTTTTTTTTTTTTTTTTTTAGTGGAAATTTCAATTCTACTTTAAAAACATCTCAAGGTAGTTGACAAATTTTAATTAAAAAATTGAAGGTAAAAATATTGAAAAAATCAGAGCAAATGGGGCCTTAGACAAGCATCTTGGATTTTTTTTATATTACCAAAAACGATTTTAGGGTTAATTTTATTAATTCATCTTATAGATTATTACTCTTATATCATATGTTAAATTATCAATAGGTGACAGAATGCAACATAAAGACTAAATTGAATCAAATTTAAAAGATTAGGTACATTTGAACAAAATTTAGTTTAATGACTTGATTGAAAAAGAATAAAAAAATTCAAAGCTTCTAATATAGTTTATTCTTATTTATTTATTTAGAGTGTGGCTGCTGACATATGATTAGAGATGAGATTACGTGATTCCCACACACACAGTATTGGATCAAATGTCAAGACAATCCCACCACTACTTCAAGATTATTTTATCAAAAATGCTAGAGGTCTCAAAAATTCTACCAAAAGTTTTACCAAATGTCTCACATGGATGTGGGACCCACATGGGACCATACCCATATGAGACATTTGGTAAAACTTTTGATAGAATATTTGAGGTCTCTACCATTACTCTTATTTTATCCCCCACATACATGCGATTATAAATGTCTCCATTACATAAAGTTTCATTTTTATTTGTCCTCTGTTTGTAATATTTTTTAGCGTTTGGTATAATGAAAAATATTTTTCATAATTAATAGAAAATAATTTTATTTGAGCACAAAAAAAAATTCTCAATTTAAAGGGTGGAATTTTTTTTTTTTTTTTCCTAAACTAAAATCTCACCAATGACACCACATTACCACAATCACTGTTGCCCCACCACCTCCCCTCCATCTCAGCCCTACCATCACCACAGCCCTACCATCATTGATACAACCATTAGTGAAACTAAACATAGGAAAATATTTCCCTCAAAAACAAACCCGGAGTCGGTAAGGCAAAAATGCATTACTTTGTTTTAATACTTTTTGCACTCACATTCCTTTATTAATGTTTGTCTCTGTAAAACGTTCATTCATGATATCATCAATAAAGTTTTTTTTGTTGATAAAAGAAATTTTTTAAAAAAAAAGAAAAAGAAAAAGAAAGAGGCAAAAATGCATTGTAACCGGAATTATCATTTACAATTATAAAAAAAAATGATCATTTTATAGGATGATTAAAGGATGACCATTTTATTCTATTTCGTCTCTTTCCAGTATATCTAATATTTTATTCAACGAATTAGAAAATTGGTGCAGGCTATTATTGTTAAAAAATAAACTTTGTCCACTTCAACAAGCTATTACACTTGTATTACTTTTAAGTTCTTAAATTATTAACATT